CAAAAACAGGGCTATACTCTAAAATGGTGACTTGCCGAGGCACCCCTTTCCGGTTCTTTTGGACTTTAGCAGGGTTAACGTCGCGTTCGGACTTTTTTTAGAGTTTTTTCGACGTCCTTCCCTCGCAAGGGGTCTCGATACGGCCCTCCTATTGCAGTTAAAAATAGGTCGTGAAGAAAGTTCTTGCGCTTTTGGACCTTGATTTTCAAATGCCTGTATCTCGGCTCATTCGAAACCTTTTTGATTGGAGTAAAGACTGTTAGAATCCACAAACCTCTGCCAATAACAGCTGCGTTGAATCAGCCCGGTAGTGCAGAACACCGCTTTTTAAAGATACCTTCAAACGAAAAGGAGATTCAACGGTTTCGAAACAAACCGAACGCAACCTTTCCCAAACAATTATAAAAATCTTTTTCGCATTTTCTAATTGCAGTTTGATGTGGGCTTGTAAATTTCAGTTTATATTTGACACATTTTCTAAAGGGGGTGGGGGAAGCTTTTCAAAAACATTTTTAAATATGAGTTACTGAAAAGGGCTACAGTAGGAAGGCACTACTGCTTTGTAGAAGCTGCAAGCGAGATTATTACTAAACTTATGTAGGAGCAGCTGTACATTATTTAATCCCTTGATTCGCTGTTGGATCATAGATCAAGGCCTAATATCTGAAATGCACCTGTGAAGACTGAGGTGGTCCGTGTCAGTAGTTAGATTAATGGGAGTAAGAGTTAATCTTGGTCGATCCTATTAATCCTGAAAACCCTGTCTACAATTTACACTAAGCTTATGGTACATAGATATCAATTAGAAAACAAATGTCTAACTATCCAGCCATATTTTTAAAACGCTGTGAGGCTGTAAATTCATCACAAAAATTTTTTTGTTCTGCATCAAACTTTTTGATCTTCTCAGAGCGATTAACATATAACATAAGATTTATGATTAATGATTTATTATCGGCTGACCAATTACAACCAATATCAAACTGAATTATAGACAAATCTCCGATAAACGAAAAAGGAAAAAGAAGCAGCACAAGTAGGGGACCATTAAGGAGGAGAGAGAGAGTGGATAGCACAGCGAGAAGGGCAGTGGCCCCCAACCATGCAGAGCTCTACAGGCCGATAGCCACAGCTCGTAGGCGATAGCGAACGCCGGATACCAGCTTGGTAGGTCCGCCAACCTTACTGAGATCCAACTCCCTGACGTTTTGAAAGGATTATAAGATCATGATGTTCCAAAGCACCAATACGACATAAATCGTTGTGAATGAAAAATCGGAATGTCAAAAATATTTTTTTTGGCCAGAATCGCCCTAATTTGTGCACAATCTTCACTTCTTCAGGAAATTTTTCTTGCATTCCATTCATTCTCAGCAAACACGAGCTCTAATTGGAATAACAGGGCTTTACTTGCCAGAACGATTCGCACTTTTTTAATTAACTATCGACAACCGGAAGATCTTAAGATATTTCTCATCGACGAAATTCGTAGGAATCCTTCTATTTTCTTGTGGTGAAGATCTGTAATAAATATTACCCAATAATGTCGAAGAAACGCTAGCATACGGCGAATGACAATAAGTAGATACTACTTTAGGCCGATGTCAGACTTTGCGAATCGCGCGATTCGCTAGCGTCTGCGGTCGCGTCGCGGCCAGTGAATCACTCAATTGGCTGGTACCGCAACGCGACCGCGGACGCTAGCGAATCGCTAGTAGCGAATCGCGCGATTCGCAAAGTCTGACATCGGCCTTAGAAGTCTATTGGGAACCCCTTTTCATCAGACAACCCTCACAAACTTAGCGCTAGTTCGGCTAAGGGAAACTCATAGGTATTTTTGGAGCTAGCCTATATGAGAAATACAGCTAGTTCACGATGGGTAACTTCAGCTGGCTAGCGTGACCTGCAAAAGGAGCGTGTGACTAGTTGTCGCAGGATAACTCACCGAATATGAATACTTTCGTTGGCAGCTTGTCCTAGAGATAAATTGGTAGGACTAGCCTTACGGGCTCGCAGCACCAGGTTATCAAAGAGTTGGCTTGTGCGGGACCGGAGTTTGTTGAATGGCAACCTACCACATCGAGAAGCTTATCTTAGCTGGATGTGCCATTTTTCGCAAATCACTCAAGGTCAATTCAACGCTGCAGATATGAACGAAGGCGAAAGGCGATTGTGATGCAAATAGCAAAAACACCACTGATGGTATTTTTGTGATTCTTTGAACATAATCACAATCGAAAATTTTATTTTATACAGAATGTACAATCATCGAGGATTTGTCACGCTCCTGTCATGATTTCTTCACGAATTCACGTGGATCTGGCGATGTGACAGTGTAGTCGTTGAACTTCAGGTCATAGTCACCTCGGTACCACGAAGACAGCAAACTCATGAATTCTCAAATAAGACATCATTAAAAGTTTACAGAATGGTTCTATATCTCAAGTGAAAATTCACTCCAGAAATGTAAGGATAATATTGGTTTGAATATCTACTAATTGAACCTAAAGGCAGTGGGCATGTTAAAGTGAGTGCGCACCGAGTAAGTAAATGTGCCACTGCGAGATGGTTAGACGGCGATAAAAGTAAATGATACCGTTTTAGCGACGTAAGACGGGTTTTTCAGTCACCCTTGCGGTTAGTATACCCAGTAATCCGAGAGTAAACGCATTTTCAATTGCCTTGTTTTCATTTTTAGGCAGAAACATGCCCACGGGACGAAACATCGCGCACCAAGACAAGAGAGCGTGGGAGACCAGCAAGACGCAGACATCAAGGCATTTGCAATGGTGGGCATGCATCCATGCAAGTCACAGAGGTATGCCGCCTTTTCTCGTTAAATTTTGTGACATTAAACATTTTCGTGTGATCAAAGATCTCACGCAGGACAGCTCCCATCACTGCCATTGTCAAATTTGACAACAGTTCGCACCCTAGCGATTTCTGATCAGTTCGAGGGACTTCGTGTGCGGTTCTCTATTTACAGCATACACTGAAAGAACCCTCCGAAATAAATAGTTTACTTAGCGGGCGTCTCCCTTCAATTTCTCGCGGCAAGTTCCTGAGTCAGTTGAATTGATATTCAAATATAATACTTCACTGAATTTCAGATGAATCCGTAGGTTTTCACTGCACTGTGGCGATTCTTAGAAGGTTTTTCCGCTTGCAATAATTGTGCTTACGTAGATCGGGCTCACCTTCCTTATCTAGTCGTCCGTCACCATCCAGGTCTTTTTCGGCGAAAAGTTGTCGCCAGTTTTTGTCAGCTTTCACCTTTAAGACGTTTTCCGCGTAATCCTCCCCCTCATCATATGATACAAAACCGTCGTTGTTGTTGTCAGCCTCCTGTAAGAAAGTTTTTGACAACGGTAGTTCAATCTCTCGTTTCGTACAGTGGGAATATATAAGGGCAACCGTACGCCCTAAAGACAACTTCTCACCCATTCGAGACCCTGCCTCAACTGCTCTTCTTCAGTTTACGTTGTGGGCGAGCCTAACGGTTACAAACAGACAGATATACCAAATTACTTCTTTATATGGAAGGAAAGGATAATTTTCTATATTGATGTCTACAACAAAGAGACAAGCTTCGATTTCCACGAAATCACTCCTCGGCATGCCACATGATCATCTTGGCTGGTTTAAAGGCACAAGCCAAGCAGAAGTCGTGTGAACGATTCTCTTTAGTCTGTGGAATAGACTCCAGAGGTCAGACCCAGACGTGGCATTCGCGCCAAATTCAATCGACAAAAGCGCTAGGGCCTTGCAAAGAATCCACAGTTAACGGTGGACAACAATCTAACAAGAAGATCAACATAAGGCTGCCGCATACCGGTCTTAGGGTAGTGTCGTACATGTGTGACTTGTTACATGACGATTTGTCTAGTCGGCCAGTCAAGCTGACGAACGAGCAATCGCGTGACAAGGAATTACCAGGGGGAGGAAAAATCATGATGGAGCGAGGAACGTAATAACAGTAGGCTATCTGGGAGAGGGAAGTTCAACTTCGTTCGCGTCAGATGGCGTGAACAGCCCAGCGCGCTTGGCCACTGCATGGGTAGCGGTGGCCACGAATTGGCGAGGGAACCTCGAGGATCGGGTAGGAATTATTGGTGCAAAGCAGCTGTTCAGAGTGATCGCTCAGGTATCGAAGAAGGTCAAGATTTACGGCAGGAAGGGACATTTCAATTTCGGGAATATCATCGCGGGCGACATAGGCCGGCATAGCAATTACTACTGCTACAAGGGCAGTAAAGATCGCCGTCGGAAGCATCTGAAATTTGACATGATTTTTCGAATGGAATTTCGACGTTCACTAGCATGAACGAATAGAGTTAGGTTTCACAGGGGTTACATTCACAAAAAGTCTGACATCCCGAACCTGTCGCTGGTACCAAAGCCATCTTTGCAATGTCCGCAGCGCACAATTTTTACCTTAGCAGGGATTGAGAATATGGCTGTCAAGGGCTAGAAATTGAGCCCATACACGTCTCTCGGCTTCGTGCGGCTTTAGGATACAAGTTCTTACAAACGGAGACGTACGGTGAGAAGTAGTAGCCATGAAAGACAAAGTTTGATCGATCATTTTTTGGGAGAATGAAAAGCTTTCGTTCTTTAGTGGGGCGATTTTTGGAGCAGTTGAATTCGCTGTGACTTCAATGTGGCTTTTGGGGCGCAAACAAGTTAACGGCCTTAGTCGTGGATGAGAAACGGGGCGGTATCGATATTTGATGAGCCACATGTTTTCAGCATTATTCGCTTGAGAGGATCGCAATTTCGTGGGCTAGTGTTGGCCGTGAATGCAGTTGAAAGAGGCTCCAGTGCAATACTCGAACACTAGAGGGACATAATCAGACATATGTTGTGATAGTGGAGATATTATGTGATAATGTAAAACAGGCAAACCTTATGCGCGCACGATTGGTAAAGTTTTAGAATGCTAGCTGCCGAGATAAGGGACACTCAACAGTGAGGTGACGCTAATTGACGGGATATCACCACAACTTCACCTTCACATACTTACCTATTTGTTATCAGGCTGCGCTTATTGGAAGTTGTATCGGGCTACAGTCGCATTATTAGGAGTTAGTAGATTACAGTTTATGTACAGGACCGCAGAATGAATAGGATACGAGATGCTGTGAAACTATTAAGCTGTCCATGTTTGGGCATGATTTTTTACTTCACTTTTTTTTACAAGATACTTCTTACAAAAGCGCTCTCGATCAAGAGCAGTTCGGTATTCACGTTTTTATAAAAAAAAAAGGATAAAGCATTTGCCGTTGATCAATCCCTTTTTGGGATGCGGCACGCATTCTACTTCCATTTGTACATTCGCAGTGGCGTTTGAATGCGATGTGGCCTATACAATGACTTGCGGGGGCCAGCCGATGTACAAGTCAGTGTTTTTTTCCCAGACAGTACCAATTAACCGACCCGGAGGGATGGAAGGCTTGGTTGGCCCGGGCGACTCACGACCCAGGATTTGTGATCCGGACCGTGGTAAGCCATTCTCGTGGTAAGCGCGCCACTTGTCACTACACCACTTCCGCCCTTTTTAAATCTAACTTGCTGTTAGTTTAGTTCTTATTTTATGTAATTTGTAGCAAATACATACTCTTGCGAACGTTTTCGTATTGGTGTGCCCTACGAGCTCACCAGAGAGCATAATGAGACAGGACAAAAAGTTTTAAGAATTTTCATTCTGTGAAGGCTATAATAACTTCAGTCAAATGCGAACATTCGACTCTATGTGACAGCCGTTAGAGGGAAAGATGTAATGTGCTGGGCATTCACAAAAGGCAATTGCTTGGGCTCAGTATTCTCTACCGTCAACCGAAGATTCATATTTTTCGTGGCTACAACGGGGATCACGTGCGTCAACCAAGTCCGGAGTACGTACTACGTTGTGATGCGCATGACCGTATAATTAACTGAGAAGTGCGAAGTAGACCCGAAGAAAACAAAAAGTAGGGATTTTGATTTGTTCTTGGTAATTAATTGCCGTTTTTGGCCACAACTGGCCTTGCGCAAGCTTTACAAAGATGCCGGATTACAGGCAAAACTCTTCACCCTATGCGAAAATCGGGGCGCTTCAACTCCTAGGAAATCTTATCGAAAACCTTCAATCAATGTTGTAGGTGCACAAGCGAGAGTGCGGGCGTTGAGTCAGTTCGGGGTAGGAACTTTCAGCGGGGATGAGAAGTGTCTTGTAATAATAGTTTTTTGAATACTTATTTTCCAGAGAGACTGATAATCACTTCAGGAAATTCACAGGAGAGCGAATTGGAGAGCGGACTTATACTTGATTAACGCGGATATGATACGACCTCATTTCAATACTTGAAAGGCAAAATCAGGAGTTACATTGTGGGCGTTGATGTTCCTTATCATGAAAAGTGGACTCTCCAAGGGAAGGAGAAAAAAGGAAGAAAATCTACATGCAAGGAAATACGGAGCATTTTGCTTCGAATGTGATGGAGAAGCTCAAAGACAGGAGGAAATGCGAGATAATGAGCGCGAGAGGTGGAGGAATTCGAGAACGGAGACCATAGCAATAACGACGGCAACGAGACAGACATTGACGGATGGCGGACCTGTTCCTTTTGATAGGAGTCTGTTAGATAATGGCGCCTAGAGGGTCCGGTGACGGGTTTCGATGAACGAAGGATGGCGAAACCTCTGTATTGGGTGCCAGTAGCTTTTTTAGCATGGTAGGGGGATCTGGGTGGGTATTCTGACCCACGTTTGCGCTATTAAGTGTGAAAGTTCAAGCCTTCAGTGGGGAGAACAACAAGAGGTTCCTCACAGATTCTTGGCAAATTTACTTCTCAAGTGATTGCAAGATGCAGAAGTGCCAGCATTCAAGGATATCTGAATCTGATACAATGTGCTTGTCTTTCTTTTTTGACTTGCACGATTAACGAGGAGACGCAAGGCACGTGAAAAGAGGGGGCGCGAACGGTGGAATGTGAGCAGGTACTCGTGAGGGAGCTGTGTTTGCACTCACTGCCACCGAATACACCCAAACGCTTGGAGTTTCAGCGGGGATTGAAAAAGGCGGCATATAGCAACAATTCAGTATAATTAATACTATTTTTAACTGATTCGCGTGTCTATAATGAGCTGAGGGCTTCATGTGATCGTTGAGCTGGTAATATTCTAAATGGTTGCCTTAAACTTCAAAATGATCGATATTCGTGAGGGAAGAAGGTGAGGGATTCGGAGTTCACGGTTATTTGATCAATTGTATTAAAGGCAGACCAAGAACAAATGCTTATTAAGAGGGTTTGAGTAGCGAAGGATGTGTAAATACGGCTGGCCCCGCGCATGTCACGTTATAGGCCATCGCATACAAAACGCAATGAATGGGGAATGGACATTGCATATACGTGGTGAACATGTACAATGCGTGCCGCACTCCAAAAAGGGATTGATCAAATGCTGAAAATGCTCCATCCTTTTTTAAATTTTAGCTGATATTAGGATGGTAAGAAAGTCCTGAGCCGTTTGACACTTTTTGCTTTACTTTTTTATTCCGCGTACAATGGAATCTACTCAACAATATAATCACCATTGTTACTCACTACAGAGTCCCACCTAATGGGCAGGTCAGCGACCCCCTTCTCCCAGAACTGAGCAGACTGAGAGTCAAAGAAATCGCTGACCGCTCTTTCAACGTCTTCAACTTTGGTGAATTTTTTCTTCGCTAGGAATGCCTTAAGGGAGCGAAGTAAGTGATAATCAGAGAGGGCAATGTCAGGGGAATAGGGTGGGTGGGGAACCGCGTCCCAGATCAGCTCTAATTTTGCACGGGTCTCTTTAGCTATGTGGGGCCTGGCGTCATCGTGGAGTAGGTGGACAGAAGTTCGTCTCGGTCGTTTTTCTCGAACAGCGTAAAGCTAGTTTCCTAAAGCTGATTGGCGTGAATGTTGCCGGTGAAGATGTGCCCTTACGGGAGCAGCTCATAATATTAGGTTGTCCCATAATTAGTGAATCACTTTACATTTATTGTTATTAAAAATCCAAGAAAAATGGTGAAGGCGTGAAACATGTTTTGCGAAGTAGCATCCACATTATCCTACCTGAGCAATTACTCAGCCCATTTACATGCTGCCTTCCGTGGCTGATATTTCAATTTTTCTGGAACCTATTTTTGAGCTCCCTTCTTAATCACTTCTGATTAGGATCTTTCAAACGCCCAACAACATAGAGAATCAACCAGCAGATAGGCGAGGGCACGCTCCCTCAATCCACGGTCTGCTTGTAGTTCACTCTATCGAGAGGTTGGCTTTTTAGTTGAAGATGACCCACACTCCAACTACCCCTCAACTGGCAATCTCACTGCTGTACCCAGCGCCACTGAGGGTGGATCTGGACAAACTAGTCGCCATTTGCTAGAGCATGTCCGACTTGTTAAAATGATGGAATGTAGACATCTACGTAGAGTTGTAAGATTTTAAAATATTTAGTTTGTATCTTGTATGCTCTGAGCCCGAAACAGCTCCACACACGATCTGACATCATCATGTTCCTTCTGATCTCCCTTAGTTCCTTACAGTGATCATCCAGCATATTCACCAGGGTTCTGGACTGGGTGGAGTGTACTAGCAAATCTCCAAGGAGCAGTAGCCTAGCATGAACGATTCGGGAGTTCTGACAGCAAAAGCCGAACCTCCTTCGAGTCCGACCCTTCGAGATATTGGTGGAGCACGAGAGTGACCTTGCGCTGGGAACCGCCGCCCAGTAATACTAGGAGTCACTGAAGAAGATCAACATCTACAGCGTAATGGCGACGCGTTCAATTTGAAAGTAAAGCAAGACAAAGTCTGCTTTTTTCCTGAGGTCGTTCGACCCCACCTTGCGGAGAATATTCATAAAAAATTGGAGACTCCAGGCTAGCAGTTCTTTCACCTCCTCTGTGTGGCCCTATCCTCGTGCCAACAAAGACAACTCAGTCTGACCTCTAGCGCTCTTCCCCAGGAAGAAATTTTACGCTAAGTGACATGACCTCAAACTCGACTTCCGATCTTTCTTCGATCAATAGCTCCTGGAATTCTAGAGATAAGACAGCGACTAAATTTCCTTGTATAGGCAATACATTGTAGATGACAGAGGTGTATGTTTGGATGAGCAAAGACTCCACATAAAAAAGAAAAAAATTTGAATTCAAAAATACCCAAAGTGATTCACTAATTATGGGACAACCTAATACAACATTCCTCACGAATTACAGAGGCAGCAAAGAAGACATTTTTGGGGTGAAGGTCCGAT